GGAAGCAAAAGCTGTGTAAATAAACCGAAATTTTTAACTCAAACTATTCCTCGAATATTTATACCAAAATATATTATCTTGAAATGTGTAGGCTGATTCTTGCAAATATGGTTACTATTTAAAGACGTCATAGATTTGCAAAGTATGCAACACAGTCCTTTTTTTGTTTTCTTGCTGGGCGTCGTCTCTTTTAGCACTATCGTCTAGTGAAACGAAACAAAGTCAAATTGGTCAGATTTATGTATTGGAAAAAAACAATTTCAAACATTTTCCATAATTGTCCAGTAATGTTCAACCATAACATCATCACGGGAAAACACAGCATCCAGCATAAGAAAACAAATTGATAACGGCCACTCACATTCTACATCTTCAAATTGTTGCAATTCGGAATTATTGTAATGCAGTCGAGATGGATCCTGAAAATTCAAAAAATATATATAATTTCAAAGCAGAAAAAAAAATGAAAGGATTTTGTCTTGATTCGATTAATCAGAATTAATTTACCTCTAGTGGTGTTTTGTAACCATCACGCAGAAAACGTCGACAACCGTAACGACCAAGCAGTGTATTAATGATTGTTTGACGTGTAAGCTGAATCAAACTTTGCTCTTCCACAGCAAATGCCGGGTATGAAATGATACTCAGAAGCGCCAAATCAGTTTCCTGAAATTAACAAAGAAAGCATAAATGCAAAGAGAAAAATAAATGAGAAAGTAAGTTGCACAAGAAAAGCGTAGAAGAATATACTTTGGAAAATGATTCACGTGGTAACATCGATGTCAACAAAGCTGAACACTGCTGGATTTGATCCGGTAATACATGAATAACAGATCCTAAAAGACAGCAGAAATTTTCATTAAAACAAAAAGCTCCACCGATAATTTTTTTTTTTTAAAGTGAAAGATAAACTCAGCTTGCATGGATAAATATGAATATTAAAGCTCTACAACTTATAACTTATAATATAAATCATAACAGCGCTAATGTGAAAGTAGTTTGAGGTTGTTGAAAATTTTCTTCTTTCAGGCAAAAACCTTTTGAGCCATCTCCAAACAAATCGCCAACATCATTGAGAGCTTGCAATGCAGCTTTTACCATACCAACACTGCTGGAATTCAGTTCCCGTATCCCTTGATTAGTTTTATCACCACGCTCCCAAACACCATAATCCTTAAATTTATTCACAATAAAAGGAATTATATGACCCTACCAAAGAAACAAAAACTGATCTCAAATCTACCTTTTTGTTTCTGATAACTTATAATCTTGAAAACTAATTACACAACCTATAAAATCTCGAAATCAAATGGCCTTTAACAAATTGATCATTTAAATGATTTACGCCTAAATTCAGTAAAATGTCTAATAAAATAAAAGAATCAAATGAAAAGTATTTCATCAGTTCTAGAATGAAACCATGCATACTTGTAAAAATAAAATAAAAGATGAATATTTACCGGTGTTCGATAACCTGCTTCAATGTAATACACCAAATTTTGTACAAAAGCAACTTCGTCAAAATTTCGAACAATTTGTAATCCTAAAACCTCTAATACATTTATTTATTTATTTAGTATTATATTTCAATAATAAAAAATGACAATAAACAGAAAAATCGACCATGAAATTAGAGACGCAACTGTACTTTTGTTCATTTAATTTATATTACAATATTGCATAAAAATAAATAGAGATTACTTTTTAAACCATTATTTATAATTACGTTTCCAAGTTAAATGATTTCGAAATTTACCATTTAACTGCTAAAAATCTGGAACACTTTTCAATTAATTTTCAGTTCTTAAGATTAAATTTACCTGATGCTGTTAGTTGGGCTAATGTTAACAGAAATAATGATATAGCATCAATCTGTAAATGTCCCCATTCGTAATCGCCAACAACGGTGCTCTTTGTTTTTGCTGAATATTTCGCATGAAGGGCATCATTTTTGCGTTGATATAACTTGAACTGTTCAACCTTGTTCGATTGACGCATCATACATTCCAGCAATGATTGCATAGTTTTCACGCTAAAATGATTAAACAGTGAAAAACAGTGCTGACAGATATAAATACATCAATATTTATATACTTATGTGATAATAAAAAAAAACTCAACAATGTTACTGTGGTCGTTTCTTATGTTAATCACACCAATGCTATAATGCAATCCGTATTGTTTATTTCACGGAATTTAATGAATAATATTATGGCTAAGATTATTCTCGATTCAATACAAGCCTATTAGTTAACAAGTAAAAGATTAAGCCGGTAATCTAGTGAATGAAACAACAATACACTTATGATTATTAATATTACACTTTAACTTAAAAGCTTTACCAAGTTAACCCCAATTCGTTTGCTTTAGCGAGATCTTCGTCTACATCAGCACTTTTTTGATATGCTCGATACATTGCCCATATTGCATGTGTTGCATATAAATTATCACGCACCCAAGCATGATCAGGAGAATCCTTAAAAATGAAAATACTAACAAGCATGAAAAAGATGAAAAACAATTCTATTAGACCATTATTACCAAAAAGCAAAAAAGCTAACATTTTGGAATCACTGTATTTGCTATAATAAAGGAATTACTTTGAAATAGGGTGAATTGTCAATATATATCAAATTAGTAATGTTAGCATACTATACGCTGCTTGCAAAGACTTCTGTTATAGAGGAAACTTCCTCCATCATTACCATTTATAAGCCGATTCAAAACTATCCAAATATGATAGCGTAAAATTATTATTCAGGTATTCTACTCGAATATAACAAAAAATCGAATTGCATCTACATATTAGTTAATTTCTTATTTTGAAGTAAAAAAAACGGTTGAATTTTAATCATTATTAATTATAAGTATAATAATTGCTTAATTCGGAATATAACCAATTTTAAGCATTTGCAGAATCACTCAGTCCAAAAAAGCAACAAATAATTACTTGATGCGGCAAAAGACACAAAAAAGTCAACATAAATTAAGTAAATTTTATTTAATTACTATTAAACAATCAGCAAACAATTCGAAGCATACTTAATTATTCATGCTCAATTGTTCTTTCAGAAATATTTCTTCCGCTCATCCCCTTCTTCATCTTCGTTATCAATTATTTAATCTTGTAATTTAAATTTATTTTAAAAACATTCATACCTCTATGTTATTGGTGAATAAGCCGGTGATAGGATTTTGATATTTTAGAATGGTTTGCTCGACAAGATGCATCAAACAATCCAAACGTACACCGGAATCACTTCTCGAACGCATCCTATTAACCAGTTAATTAATCCCAACGATGATAACAAACGACGCAAATTTTCTTGAAATTTTATCTGGAAATTTCCAATCCACAATGAATTAATGTTTTTCTTTTTTCATTTGACAAGAATTCACAACTTCGCTTCGAAATTTCCAAACTTTTAGATATAACACGCATTACAAATATGTAAGCAATTACTCCAATACAGGTGTAGTATACTAAAGGATAAGTAATTCCAATACACATGTAGCATACTAAAGAATAAGTAATTAAACGCACTCGTAAAATAGTAATCATATATAATATAAACAGACTGATTTATTAACTGGCTGAATTGCAACAAAGAGACATCTTTGGCTTTTAATATGCTTAAAAACTGGGTCACGTAATAATGCTTTTTTATTTGTGAGAGATCTTACTCATCATTTTGACGTAACGTCGATGATGTAGAGAGTACACAGATATTATGAAGTGTATCATTTGCAACATATTATAGAATGATAGGATTTGCAAAATATAATACTTCTAGAGAAATCAAAGAATAACCCAACTTGCAAAATAGAACGTTTCTCGGGAAATTAGACAATGATGAGATCTGATCTGAAAGATTACGAGAAACACAACCTGGGCCTGTACTCGAATTGCGAGAAAAATGATAGCTTTTTGGCGTCTGTGAGACCTTGACCTTTTGTTTCCAGTAGCTTGACCTCTTAGAAAGATAAGAGTACTATATTGTGCAGTATAGTAGTAGTCTTATCTTTTTGTTTCTACACGAAATGTTACTCTTTCAATTATTTGCTAAATTTTTTAAACAAATTCTGAAATTTCTTGATGAACGTTTATGAGATTAAACAGTCTTTTTTAGAAAAAAAAGATTGAATGAGGCAGTTTTAAAAACTTACGCAAAAAATTTTGAAGAAGAGAAGTAAAATTTATGATGAGAATTTATGAATATTCGTAGTGAGATTTAGAACATAAATGATTTGTATGATTAAAATTACCGTCCGGCTGAATGGACGCATTAAATGCATTTATAAAATGACATGGTCATTCCGTCAGGATTATATGCTTAAACAATAAAATATGCCCTAATACAATATAATTTAATTTTTCAACAGTCCTGAGATTACTAAATTGCCCAGGTTTAAATATTTTTGCCTTTTTTGATACTTTTGAACTGCACAACTTTTAATTTTCAGTTCAAAACTTTATGCAATTCAGAAATAGCAGAAGAAGGGCAATACTTAAAAACCCAAACAATTTGATAATCTCGAGGTATAAATAAATCCTGATTTTATCCTATGCTAATTGCAGTCAATTCCACCTAGTATGGGGCAAAAATTTACAGCTTAACCATCTTTTATTTAATGTTTGATTTTTCTTTTTCAAATATCTTTTTCATACTAAATATAAGTGAATTTAAAATTCAAATGATTTAAATATTTATATCAACTAATTTCGGATGAGTCAAATCTAATTCACATTGATTAGGTTTGGATACTGGAACTGCAGCAAGAATTTGAGTTTAAATTAATTATGTTATATTCAGGTGTTTTATTTATGCAGCCGAAAGTGTCACAAATCATTGTACGATATGAATAATTTAATAATTTAATCATCGTGATGGATCGTTCCGAGTTTTTATCTCGGACCAAAGATCGATGCATAAATATAATTTCCTTTCCTGATTAACAATCTCAAGTTGTATTCTGTACAGTATATTATTCGGAAGTATTTTTATAAACAATCGAATTTCACTCTGGTCAAACGTTACTGGTAATTCTTGTCTCCCAGGTTTTATTGGACATCCAATGCTTTTGTTGCATTTTACCAAGTTATCACTGAAAATACGAAATGAAATGAAAAATGAAATTAAAGTTGGAATTTAGCACTAAATATGCATATAAATGTTAGTATGAATAAGTTATTTGTTTATTTTTGAAAAAGAAAATGAAAAAGCCAAAATTGGAGTATTTTTTATAAATCACAAAACTTTTTTCTTTAATTTCGTTTGATTTTTTCAAAATTCAACTAACATCCAATTTATAAAAATATTATGATAGTTTTTGAAGGTTTTGATAATTTTTAAAAGTTCGCTAAAGTATGATAACGATAAGTATGATAATGTATGGAGCTTACAGCATTCCAAGAGTTGGAATTCGATGCCAGTTGCAGCCGAACCATCCACCTCATTTGTATAATTTGATGGATGATTCCAAATTATCGTATTGCTCACCAGTATTTGTTGTCGGAAACCCGAAACTAAAATTAAATTATTTATATTTTGGCTAATCATGTTAATCATTTATTTCTTATAATTATAAAGCAAATTCCTTAATGATTCATAAATTGTAATGTGTTAACGAATTCCAATGCTAATCTGATATGTCGTCTAAACTTCCTGAGCTAAATTAATTCTAATCAAATGATTAATCTCGTAATACACATCCTTTCCTATCTTTATTCATTATATCATCACCTTATTCCTTTTGTAAAAA